TGTTGAACGTGCCCAAGTCCATACTTATGAGAGCACCATGTGAGCACCTGTGTGTGTACACGTGCTTGTATATGTAAGGTTTCTTTTTACGTCCCTTGGCTTCGCTAGGAGCACAATGGTGTTTGAGGGAGTAAAGAAGATTTTGTACCGGAATGAAACAAACCGAGTTTACTTCATTTCGCTCCTGCCCACTCCCGCTGAATTTCTGACCATTTGTGCCCGCAACTGCAACATGTGTGTTACACTCCCGCCCGCACCCGTAGCGTGCATGTCTACTCCCGCCCGCAACCGCAAAACTCTGAGAAATTATTACCTCACAATAAAAGAGATGTATTGAGTTGCGTCCTCTCTGGTCCTGGAGAAAACATGTCACAACCCGCGGCTCTTCCATCCATCTGATGCGGCTCTCTGTGCTTGTAAAATAATGAATGGATATTTAAATAAAATGCGTTATATTTTACTGAATTAATTTTTTATCTGTAAGTCAATTCTATGTAAAGATTGTCTGCATAGACCTGAACAGGTCCAACACAGACCGGGTTGACCGGTCACGCTTGAGCGTAATCATAGGCGCTTCCATCCTGAGCTGAAGAGATTCTGGGCTTCTCCTCAGACAGGCTCATGGATGTGTCACCACATTGGAGACAGGAACAAGCACTATTCAGCCAAAGTTTCATAATCAGGGAACATTTTCTAAGTGACGAGTCTCTCTGAGCGACAGGGTTTGGAAAACACTCGCTTCAGTGGGAGGAACCTGCGCTCCAAGCCAATCTCCACAACTTCAGCTCCCTGTGCACATATGCGCTGACAGCGAGTGGGAGGAACCTGCGCTCCAAGCCAATCTCCACAACTTCAGCTCCCTGTGCACATATGCGCTGACAGCGAGCTGCGCTGAGCAGCTCAGATGTTCAGATGGGAATTTTTTCTTGGGTGATTTAGCTACATCTGCGATGTGTGTAATGAATAAAATGTCAGTTCGTCTGCATGCGTCGGAGTAATTCTTTCTATTCTTTCTCCGTCAAAATAAACCGTCAAATATGGGAACTATCTGGTCAACACAAGCCCTGCTTTTGACTGTTTTGTTTTCTTGTGAAAATTGTTGGAAAGAGATCAAATTTAACTTGATTAACACCAGAGCCAGTGCGCCGTTTTCTCCGTGATGGTAAACGAGGGAAAAACAAATTGATCGGATCCTGCACGTCTTTTAACACATTGGTCAGGATTGACGCACTTTGTTTTCATTTAGTTGGTTAAAAAAAGAGTCGGGCTCGGGCTCGGGCTCGGGTCGGGCCAGAGAATCCTGAAAACCTTTTCGGGCTGGGTCGGGCTGGGGCTCCACCCCCTTGGGCCGGGCCGGACACGGGCTCAAATTTTAGGCCCGTGCAGGGCTCTAATCCACGGTGTCAGGAGGTCGACATGGACACTGCCGATGGCGTGGACCTCTAGGTACCAGGAACCCGTAGATTAGCTCCGATACGACACGTCTAGTCTGAGATACCTCTAGGTGACGACAGAAAGCTGGAATGCTTGTTTGCGTCTGAGGCTGTTAAAAGAGCCGTTGTGTCTGAAATCACCTGCAAGTGTTGCAGAGCAATGTTTTGTCCTGAGGTCAAAAGAGAGGATGGTCTCAAATGCTTGCTCACTGACCGGCCAAACCAGGATGCAGTGGAAGAACTGACTAGATCAGGAAGTAATTCCTGGTTTTATCAACTCTGTGTATAAATTTGGCCAATCAGAATTTGACACGTTTATAAGGCATTACCAAAATTCCTCAGAAGTCACGCCTTCACTCAGATCATTAGAGGTTAATTCTCAGGAAATGTTTTTAACAATTATGTGAAGCCAAAAATGTTAAACATTAATGATAATTGTATTATAATGTGTTGAATGGATTAACATTAAATCAACATACACTGATCTGGTGTAATTTATGATCTGAAATGAATCATTGCAGGAAAAATATTCATTTTTGACACATCACTGATTAATGAACAAATCATTCAAACACTTTAAGATTTAAACATCTTGTTCATTCAACACATTTGATTATATCAACCTATAAAGTTGTAAAGTCATTTATGATTCAAGGAAGATGAACTTTATTCAGAGTGAGCATGCAGAAATTTCGTCCTCCACATAGCCTTGTCTTCCAGCACTTATTATTGCTAACTTGTTTGGTTGCATGTCGTATATCCTTGTTTTTCTTGTGTGGAGGCCAGGAAGATGTAATGTGTCCCTGGATGCAGTTTGTGTCTGCAAATTAAAAAGTTAATATCTGTTCATGTTGTTGAAAAACTTGACCTTTAGGTACGCTACATATCCCCCCTTTCCAAGGGCACGGGGTCACGGACAGAAGACCACGAGGCGTTGAACAACTACAGAGGCCCTGAGGAGTCAGCAGACGAATACAGTTAGTTCTTAGGTACCAATTGGGCATGGTTTAAATGCCACGGGCTACCTGAGCATTGTTTCTGACCATGTCCATCCCTTCATGACCACCATGTACCCATCCTCTGATGGCTACTTCCAGCAGGATAATGCACCATGTCATAAAGCTCCAATCATTTCAAATTGTTTTTTTGAACATGACAATGAGTTCACTGTACTACGATGGCCCCCACAGTCACCAGATCTCAACCCTACAGAGCATCTTTGGGATGTGGTGGAACGGGAGCTTTGTACCCTGGATGTGCAGCCCACAAATCTCCATCAACTTCAAGATGCTACCCTATCAATATGGGCCAACATTTCTAAAGAAAGCTTTCAGCACCTTGTTGAATCAATGCCACGTAGAATTAAGGCAGTTCTGAAGGTGAAAGGGGGTCAAACACCGTATTAGTACGGTTTTCCTAATAATCCTTTGGGTGAGTGTATGTACCCTATATGTGCAATGTGTATGGAGATTATGTGAATGGAGGTCAGCTAAAAAATGTTAATGTAGTAAACTACGTGCACTGAAAAAGGTGCATAAACCAACAAAATAAACAAAACCCTATAATATATGTAAGGGAAAAATAAAAGCTATTAAAAGCAGTTGTCAAGTTGCGAGTTAGGAGGAGGTTAGGACCCAAGATGCAGATAACACCAGATGACACGAGGCAGGAGCGGTTTAAAAGTTCATCCTTTTATTTAGGATGATGAACGAAAAAAATCCAAAAAGGGCAGGAAGCCAAAAAACAAAGTCCTGAACAACAGGAGACCGAAAGCTCACATAGAGCACAAAACCTGGAGACGAGACACAAAAGCTCACATAGAACACAAACAACGCTGACAACAAACAATGGACCGACAAGACAGTAAGACACAGACAGGGCTTAAATACACTGGGGCATAATGGGAGGCATATGGGCTGCAGGTGTGTGGAGAGAGAACCACGTGAAAGCAATTAACTAATCAGGGAGGAAACTAACATTACCTAAGAGTAAAGAGTAAAAAACCTAAAGACAAGATGAGCCAGCAAAATAAACTAATATTCTAAGAGGAAGGGAAACTACAAAACCCTGTGGGAAAAACATACTAAAGAGACTAATAAAATGAGAAGCTGGACCTATAAAAAACTGCTATGTTCCTTATGTAGGAAACGTTTTTCTGATTGACTTAATGAACTGACCTGTATTGGAATGTTTACTGTGTGAAGACCCTTGAGACGACTCGTAGTGACTTGGCGATTTATAAATAAACTTGAATTGAATTGAAAATTGGTTTTATGAGTTAAGTTTTGTTATGGTTTTACCTCCTGCTCATCTCTGTGTACTGTTTTTTTGTGCAGGTCAGCTGCAGCTCCTCCCAGGTGCCCCACCCCACTGTGGCGTTCTCCGCAATGTTGCAGCTGATTGCAATCTTCCATTAACACACTGATTTAAGTCATGGGTTCCAGTTCTCTATGTGGCATTGTCTTGCATAGTTTTAGAGCCAGTGTGCTTTGTGCTAGTTCTTTCGCACATTACTTTCTGATTAGTTTTTCCCACTGTTTGTGGAGATGTTTTGTTATTTAAAACCCTCAGCCTGAGTGTTGTGGTCCCTGCGTTTGGGTTACTGCCTGAACCCCACCGTGACACCATCAAGTTCAACATGCCCAAACCAGATCACATGATCAAATGTTCAACCAGCGTCAAAGATTAAACAGGTACAAAGACCAAGCTAAAGGTACAAAAACAGTCATCTATGTGAATTGTGTGGCTTATCCCGTTGCCATGCCAACTCAAAATGCTAAGAAAAGTAATAGCACACCTCTCCCGAACATGCCAGTTGTTTTGATGTAAGATTTGTGGGGGTGCATGCTTCTGGTCCAGCCACATTAGTGTATATGGAAAAGGAGTAACAAAATAGAGATAATTTCTCCGGTGAAGAGCGATTAGTGACCCTTAGGGCAGGCCCCTAATAAAGAGACAGTTTTGTCTGGTGAAGAGTGGCTCTGCCAGATGGCAGGCCTCTAAATTAAATGTTTTGTTCAAAAAGAATAATTTTCACCTTTGAAATGTAAAATCTTGGAAAGCCCTCATCCATTCAATGGGAACACCCTGTTCCCAATGTTTGGATTCATCCAACAAACTGTCATCAGCACGAGCGAGTGTCTTTAGCCGGTGTTTTGTTTTTTTGTACTTATGCTGACAAAAAAGTAACCAAGTAACTTTAATTTAAGTACATTTAATTTACTTGAGTACAATTTTAGCTAAATACTTTTACTTGCACTTGATTAAAATTTCATCAAAGTATTGGTACTTTTACTTAAGTGCAAAATGTTAGTACTCTTAGCACCTCTGATGATGACATCACGACCCTATCCATCTATCTGCAGCCAGCAGACAGGAAAATGTACGCGCAAAGACAAAAACCACTCCAAAAGGTGGCTTCAGCATGAAGTAAGACCTTTAACCACTTTATCATTATAAAACTTGTATTTTTGTCCTGCTGTGTGACGAATCAGCTTATCTGACTAATGTGGTGGCTCTTAACGGTCTGACTTAGCAGAGACCCCCGGCCAATAAAGGAAAGTCAGAAACAGCAAGTACACATTTTTAATGACATGGTACAATTTACAGAACACAAGTTGCAATGAGGAACATGCTGAAGATTCCATTTTCTAACTTCTGTACAGGATTTACAGACATTGTTACCTCCTGCACCCAGGAAACAGCAACAGCTTTTCTCTACAGGCTGACTCACCACCACAGGTCTGGGACGTTGGGTCGGGAGGCTAGAAAAGAGAGAAAACACGGCACGGCATGACACCAAAGACATCAAAGTGCACAACTAAACCCTCAGCTGAGACCAGATGCTTTGAAAGCTCTCCAAACCTTTGTTTAACCATCATGGGTCTTACCCCGTGTGAGGTCAAAGGAGCTTCAGTTGTAGACAGGCTGCATCTTTTACTTTAAATCTCTTTAAATTCAAATCCTGCATCTAGATTGTAACTAATGTTTACGAGTGCCCTTCTCTAATGGTTTAGCTCAGTCCTTGGGTTTGTGTGGCACTGGTTCGGGTCAGGGAGCGAACACGGCCATGGTACTGGTCAGCGGTGCTGAAAAGGCCAGCCGTCATAAAGGGAGCCCAGATATTTGCATAGTTGAACATGGGGTCTCTGGTTTATGCTAACGTGAAGTAAAAAGAAAAATGAGCCAACAGCACATTCAGCACCATGGCCGTAATACTCCTATTTACAATGTAAAGCTTTCAAAAGAATATTTTGCATATTTGTACCACAATGAATCCATAGAGTGACTGCAGGCGTTACCTAGAGCCCAGGGTGTGTGCTAAAGAACCTCAACATCCCAACCAGGGGAGAAAATGAACTCAAACTAAAAGGTTCTGGTCTTCACAGGGTTTTGTAAAAAAGACAAAGGCCCATGTCTGCCACACAAATTATTCACAGATATATTACAGTCTGGCTAAGAGCCCGGTGACGTCGACGTTGGAGAGGCACAGGTTCTGCTGAGGCACGGCCTGGCTCACCGGGCCTCAATGTCTTTGTGGGCTGCTCTGTCTCTGAGATCTGTGGCCAAGGGGTTAGTCCGTCTGGGGGATCCAGGCCGGGCCCCCAGTGTGGGGATAAGAGGGGGCGGAGCACTTAGAGATGCAGTGGGAGGAGTTTTGTTCAGGAGACTGTTGTGGTGAGCGACTGCTGCGGAGGGGCTCACCCTGGAGTATTGCAGCCCCGGGAGTCCCGGGGCCATGAGGGCTGGGGTTGGGTGGGGCAGGTGGCCGTCGAGAGTGGGGTCATGCATGTGAGGATGGAGGTGTCTGTGTTCATAGTCGTCTCTGAGCATGTTGAGGCGGTCACGCTCCTCCAGCTGAGCGCGTTCCTGTTCCCTCCTCTGCTCCAGAGCCAGAGAGTGGACGTGGTCACGGTTAAAGTCATGAGGTTCACGGTCCCTGTAGGAGCGCTCTGCCTCGTAGAGGCGTGGCACTGCCAGCCGGTGCAGAGGGTCATTCCTCAGCAGCAGGTCCCGGGCTGGATGGTCCCGCCTGTGGATGTCCAGGCCCCTGTAGGGGTCCCTCACGGGGTCCCAGGGAAACGCAGGGTAGGGAAAGCGCTCAGCTCCAGGGAGGGGGCTGGCTCCCATGAAGGGAGCCACAACTCGAGTCCTCTCCAGGTGACTGATGCTGTTGATGGGGTGAACCCCAGCCACGCCCATGGGCAGAGGCATTGGGGAGGGTGAGTGGAGGGTTGCGGTGGAGGCTGTCTGTGAAGGGGGCTCACTCCCTCTGCCTGTGGCTCCTTCCTGCTCCTCCTTCCTCTCCTCCTTCACTGTCACCTCACAGTTTTTTTTCTGCTGCTCATACATCAGCTCTGTCTTCTTCTCCAGGGCCTCCCGGTTCAGTCCCTCATTGGGACGCTCCAGACTGTTCTGCCGGACGTAGGGTGACGTGGTCCCCCTGTTGGGGACTTTGTCCTCTGTCGCTCGACCATTGTGAACTACAGGCGTGTCCTTGTCACTGTGCTGACTGTCTTTCAGTTTGTGGTCTTCTGCCCCGCTGTCCTTCCAGGAGTCCGAGGGCTCCCTCTCCCGTTCTTTCGCCTTGTTCTCCTTTTCTCTCTGCAGGTCTCCAGAGGCAGGTGGCAGGTGGTTTCTATGGTGCTCTGGAGGCCGGCTGTGACCCAGGAGATTGAGGGGATGAACAGGAATGGGAGGTGGGTGGCTTGGATGCCGTTTTTCCAGAGAATCCCTGCCAGCACAAAGATGGATTTATTAGAGCTCTCAGTCTGAAAGTGTAACTAGGGAAGCATGCTTTGTGAGCAAATAGCAGGTCTAGAGAACAGTGATATTAATCTATTGATGGATGCGTGATGCTATTGGACAAACAGCCCTAGTAAAAAGTTTCCTTTCTATTTTAATTATATACTGTCGGATAACTAGTCATCACTTACAACTAACCAATCAAAAACACAGACCCAGGCTCGCTGTCACCAAGCCCGCCCCTCTCAAACCTTTGCTGACAGCATGTGGCTTAAACAAGATGTCGCAACAAGGAGAGGCGATGGGAATTGTCCCAAGAAAGGTTGGTCGTGCACCAGCATGGCGATATTTACATCTTTACAACTCCGACCAAAAAAGGTTGTTTGCTAAATTGTGAGAGAATCGATAAAATACAAGTCTGGTGACACAACTTGTTTCATAGTTCTCGATAATGATTGATTTTGCTCTATATTAAGTTTTTTTTTGTCATGTTTTTCTCTATATCGTCCAGCCTCACCAGAACTATTATATATCTGATCTTTTCTGCTGGAGACACACGCATCGGGCGCTGGACACACCTGTCCCTGTCCTCGTTCCCGCCCAGGATGTCCCGTTTGTCCGAGTCCCGGTCCCTTCCTTGTGAGCCAATGCAGGTGCCCCTCTCCACGTCTCCAGGTTTCAGCCAGGGGGGAAGCGTGGGGAAGGAGGGCGGCGTGCGGTGTAGGCGGTTCCACGGCTCCTGGCTATTGGTGTTCCCACTGCTGCTGAAGTGCTGCTGAGCACCCGGGCCTTCCTTATGGTTGAACATGGAGTTGGCCGCTGGTAGGGATTCAATACGTGGAAAGAAAAAACGGCAGGACCCAAGTTAAATGCGTCTCTCTAAAAGTTCATCCAGTCTGTTAATATTAAACCTTTAACTCGTCTAAAAGACCAGGATTAAACATTTAGTTACAAACACACAAAACACCTTAATCAGAAGTTTCCTTCATGAAGCTGAAACTCACTTAGTGCTGGATTTCCTAGCCCTCCAAAGGCTGAGGAGCTGAGAGCACCAAGTGCTCCCAATGATGGAGTTCTGCTGAACGGCTCTGAAAGAGACACACAGGTTAGGACACTAGGGAGAATAGGATTTAACCTTGTATGATGGAGATTGGGATGGTGCCAGAGTGTTGGGCAGCCCATCTGTCACTCCCGTGGTTGTTAGGGTGTTTATTGGTACTTGTTTGCTTTTTTTTGCAGTTTAACAGCTCACTACGTGTGTATAATCGTGATGCCCTGCTGGAGCTCTAGCAAGCGGCCAATTCTTTGCCGCAGTCTTGTGAACATGGACAGGACACGTCTTCGCTACTTTCAGGAGTCCCCGGATTCCTCTGCCACCTGACAAACCTACTTAAATGGAATAAGCGTCGGAGACAAGGAAAACAGGCGGGACGTTGGGTGAAGCTACGATAGGTGCTGCTCCACGTTTTGGAGGCCTAGCGGGAGATTTCTGTGGCAGCTGGGTCTTGCACGCAACCATGGCGTCCGCCGGATCTGGCGGTTTCTGGGTTGGAGTTGGTCTAATGGTCCGATGGGCTGTGCTTTGCTCGTCCGAGGTGTGGCTCCTGGAAAGGAGTCATTCAGCAAAATCTGTGAGAGGTGATGTGCGAGTCATCAGTGTCCCCATTGTCGGATGGGAAGAATCAGGACACATTGGCACTGGATACCATCAGACCTGCTCTGGTGAATGCCAGGTCTGTTGTGAACGAATCTTTTATTTTGAAGGAGTGTTTTGAGACGCATGGAGAACATCTGATAATATTTCAAAATAATTTAATGATCTGGGGCTGCACAGTTGTCCAGGGGTTGCCTTGCAGCAAGAAGGTCCCGGGTTCAAATCCCACCCTGAATGCACAAAACAGGCGCACTGGAGCACTCAGGTGAGTAAAGGTTGTTTTAACAGGTGCAAAATCAACAAATACTACATACTACAGCCTCCAGCTGTCCTGACCGGTGTAGAGTAGTGGATGATGTGCAGAGCACTGTACTCAACTGTATTCCTGCATGGAGGCTGCATGTTCTCCCTGTGCATGCGTCGGTTCTCTCTGGGTTCTCCAGCTTCGTCCCACAGTCCAAAAATGACTGTCAGGTTGGTTGGTCTCTCTCCTTAGGTGTGTGTGCATGCTCGGTTGTCTGTCCTGTGTGTTGCTCTGCGATAGACTGGCAACCTGTCCAGGGTGTACCCCATCCGTTTGCCCAGAGACTGCTAGAGATAGGCACCAGCCCCCGTGACGCTGCGTGGCCGAGCGAGTACAAAAAATAGATGGATTGCTGTTGCGCTGTTACTGTTCCTTTAAGAGACACGTTGGTTGTGACAGAACTTTACAGAGTTTGTGAAAGCTGCAGCTTTCATCCCAGCTAATAATCCAGTGAAAAACGACCATGTGTCTGGTGCTGTCACTGCTGCACAAACGTAGCAATATTGGATGGATGGATGGATGGATGGATGGATGGATGGATGGATGGATGGATGGATGGATAGATAGATAGATAGATAGATAGATAGATAGATAGATAGATAGATAGATAGACAGATAGACAGATAGATAGATAGATAGATAGATAGATAGATAGATAGATAGATAGATAGATAGATAGATAGATAGATAGATAGATTTTTATTCAGTCAATAACAACAATTTATCAATTTTACATAAAAGTAATCAAGCAACCAGGGCTCAGTTTGCTGCTGACGGGATCAAACAGACCACAGGTGGACTGCTGACATGGAAAACCAGACTTAGAAAAGGAATGCAGAATTTAAGAAGGAAAGGAACAACAGTGCCCTCTAGTGGATGGTTCTGGTGAAGGATTAAAGCCCCGCCTCTTCTGTGTAAAGGAATAAAGAAAACAGCTTGGATCAATGATCCAGGTGTTGATCCTCCTGCTGCAACTCTCTTTTTATTTATTGTTACAAAGATAGCGTTACCGTGGAAACGTTTTCCACAGGAACCACTGAACTTACCCAAATGTGACGCCGGGGTGAGGAAGTTTCCAGGATGGTGGGGTGGATGGCCGAAGGAAGCACCTGGTGGGTGTGTGGGACCTGTGTGTGACATGACCACACTGAATAAAGTAAACATGTCCCCCTGGAGAGAGACTGCTGTTAGCTGTGGACACCACACACTCCCTCACCTGCAGCAGAGAAGAGTGTGGCGGGTCGGGCCAGGTCGCTGAGATGATGATTGGCTCCAATGAGGCTGGGGCCCAGAGGTCGACTCAGAAACTCGGGTTTGAGGCCAAAGTCTAGCTTGTGGGGGTCGACCTGCATCTGCTGCTGGAAGACATGAGACCAAGAGACACATGCAAGACCTGTCCAGGCTCTTCTAGTAGATCAGAGCAGGGCAGCTTCCTCACTGAACCTTGGCTACCTAAGACCTGGTTGTTGGGTAACTGGGTTTTGGTTTGTTCACACAGGTGCAGACCTCCATCTGAGCAACTTTCAATTCTCAGTTAGACCAAAGGTGACAGATCATCTGCTGCTGTGGCCCCCAGAATCTGGACCTCTCCCCCCCCCTGAGCCTGGACCTCTCCCTCCCTGAGCCTGAGATCAGTGGACTCAGTGGTCTCCTTTAAACTCACCTGTTCAGGCTTTTGATTGACCTTCACCACCCTCTCCTTGTTCTGCTCTCCCCACCTAGTCCACCTTCCTCAGGATCCACTGGTTTCCCTACTTCCTATTCTCTCTCTCTCTCTCTCTCTCTCTCTCTCTCTCTCTCTCTCTCTCTCTCTCTCTCTCTCTCTCTCTCTCTCTCTCTCTCTCTCTCTCTCTCTCTCTCTCTCTCTCTCTCTCTCTCTCTCTCTCTCTCTCTCTACATTTTTTAATCACAATTGTCTATTTTTGGCTCATTTTAAATATATTTTAATCATTTTCTAAATTCTTTTCTATATTTTTACATGTTTTTGTTTTTGTGAAGCGCCTCGTGATTTTTATCTTGAGAGGCGCTATAGTAAAGATATTTTCTTCTTCTTCAGCTTTCAGTTTGAGACTAAATGTATCCAGGTTCTTGTTCTGTCCTGGTTCCTCCTTCCAGTCAGATGTGACTGATGAGGAAACCTGAATCAGCTCAGCGGACTCCTCATGTTGAGGAGGAGCAGCACCGGACCATCTATCTGATCCAGCTCCCACCTCACTATGCAAAGGCCCAGAAATGCAACCCAAACCCAAAATGACCCGAAGGGCTTGAGACTGGAACATCATCACAAGCATGAATGTTTGGGGGAGTGGGAGCCCCCCCACCTCCCCTTCTAAGGTCAAAACTGCATCAATGACCACTGGCAACACACAGCGGAGCCTCCAGTGTTTATCTTTAATCTAACAGATTCTGGAGATTAAAATCTCATTTAGACGTGTCTCCTGGCCAACAGGCAGCAGCTCGGTCAGACACACAATTATTGTTATTATGAATATCCTGGCATCATACAGCTGGAAGTAGGGGTGAGTTACCTTTACTTTCTGCTGGTGGTGGTACGTCTGCCAGGCGATGTGGACGTGCATGGCGCACCACTTCCCAGGTTTCTGGAAGCAAAAAGACAAACTGGGATTAGAAAGGCAGCGACGTTTCAGCGTCACAGAAAACACGACGTAAGGTCTTTTATTTCTGCAGGTTCTTCTTTAATCCTTCACAATAAAAGTCTCATGTGTGTGATTAATGCTGAACCCTTCAGGTGGATGTTGTGAGCTAAAACAAATGTTGAACCCTCATCTAAACTGTAGTCCTTTAACACAAGGCATTATGGGTATTGTTGGTCTTTTTTACAGAGCTGCTTAGTTTTTGATTCCTTTTAATCTGAAAACATCTTCAGACTGTGTCTGCCCTAATGGTGTTTGGTCTTTTCATCACGAGAAGAGTCAGATTAAAAATGAGTGGAGTTGGTCTGAAGGGAGGAGGAAGAGGAGAAACGAGTGGAGGAAACGTCCGTGGAAACACCTGCTTTAATTCTTGCTGTGGTTAAAGAATGAAAAGACCGTCACAGAGGTGGAGAGTAATCAGCAGCACTCACCCTCAGGATGGGCCGGAACAGATCTGTGAGCTAAAGGAAGAAGAAGAGATGGATCCTGAGTGTGACAAAAGTATTCAAACAAACAGAGTAAATGAAGTTTAACACAGGTTTGGGTTTCTCCGGCCAGAGATGGGGTTTTGAGTCTAGTCCTAACCAGGTCAGAGATTTACACTCAACAAAAATATAAACGCAACACCTTTGTTTCTGCTCCGATTTTTCATGAGTTGGACTTAAAGATCTAAAATTCATTCCAGATACACAATATTACCATTTTTCTCA